ATTTTAAATTTATTCTACTTAAACCTATAGCAGCGCTTTTGAATGTCATTTAGCAACGCTTTTAGAAAGCGCTGCTATAGGTCTGCCTAAGGACCCCCCTCTAGCAGCGCTTTTTTGAAGCGCTTTCTTAGACCCCCTATTTAGCAGCGCTTTCAGAAAGCGCTTTCTTTGACCCCCCCCTTTAGCAGCGCTTTTTTACCCTTTTAGCAGCACTTATGAAAGCGCTGCCTATTCCCCCTCCCCTCCCCCCCCTTTAGCAGCGCTTTCTTAGACACCCCCTTTTAGCAGCGCTTTTTTAAAGCGCTTTCTTAGACACCCCCTTTTAGCAACGCTTTTTTTGAAGCGCTTTCTTACGACCCCCCTTTAGCAACACTTTTTTAAAGCGCTTTCTTAGACCCCCCATTTAGCAGCGCTTTTTTAATAAGCGCTGTCTTAGGTATGCTATTTTTTTCATTTTTTTTTCATGACTCTTTAGTAGCGCTTTTTAAGAAAGCGTTGTCTTTTAGTGCGCTGCTAAATCTCATTTCTGGCGTAGTGAACGGATGAGAAACTCTGACTTCCTTGGATGGCTTCAAATCGACAATCACCGCTTTGTACTCTACTTGATTGTTGTTGGCTTGAAACTGAAGCAAAAAGGTTGATCTAGTATCAATTCCCACGATCTTTTAAGTATTATTCCTATTCCACTACACTTAAGGTTAAACGAGTTATTCACTAATAAGATCCATTGCTCTGGTATTTCCTCCGGGGTGGGTAAGCTCAATTCTATTAAGAAATCTGCCAATACATGTGTCTTGATTTTGTTTTTAGGCGCACATGTGATATCATACTCGAATAATTCTACCGCCCGTGCTACCATTCTGCCTCCCAAATCTGGCTTCTTCAAGATCTATTTTATGGGGTATTTTGTCTTGACTGTTATAGGATGTCCCTAGAAGTACTGCCTGAGTTTCCTATCAATAATCACTAATGCCAAAGCTAGTCATTCAATCTTCTGATAATGAATTTCCGCTCCTTAGAGAACCTTGCTAACAAAGTAGACCGGTCTTTCATCTCCATCATTGTCTTGAACCAATATTAAGCTAATTTCCTTCTTGGATACTGCTAAATATAAGACGAGAGGTGAATTTTCCTTCGGACGGACCAATATCGGGGGGGGGGGGTGGCAGACAAGAATTGCTTCAACTCCCCAAACACCTTCTCATATTCTTCCATCCACACAAATTCTGCCAACTTCTTTATAATTGCAAAGAAATGTATGTACTTGTCCCCTACACAAGATAAAAATTGGGATAAGGCAGTCAGTCTCCCTATCAGTTGTTGGACTTTTTTTACGGATGTTGGGCTTCTCATATAAATCATAGCTCGACACTTGTTTAGGTTTACTTTTATTCCCCGGTGAGTAAACATTAAGCCGAGGAATTTGCTGGCCTGTACCCCAAACGCACATTTGTCGGGATTAAGTCTCATGTCGAACTCCTTATTAATTCAAAGGTTTCTTTCAAGCCATCTACATGCCTTCCTTCTTTCTGTGTCTTGACTAACATGTCGTCAACGTATACTTCAAGATTTCTTCCTATCTATGACAAGAATACCATGTCCATCAACCTTTGATACGTAGCCCCAACATTTTTTAGTCCAAATGGCATTACTTCGTAGTAATAATTGTTTCTGTCGGTCATGAATGTTATTTTGGGTGCACAGTCGGGATCATCCATATTTGATTATAACCTCAGTAGGTGTCCATGAAGCTGAGCAAACAAAAAACCTAATGTAGTTTCGATCAGTATATCAATATGTGGCAATGGTTAGAGGTCCTTCAGGTAGGCTTTGTTGAGATCGGTGAAGTCCACACACATACGCCATTTTCCTGACTTCTTCCTCACCATTACCACATTGGATATCCAGGTAGGATATTTTATCTCTTCTACGTGAATCTGACCTTTAGTAGTTTGCCGACTTCCTTTGTGATTGCTTTCCTTTTTCTCTTCCGCTCTTTTGACTTTTTGCATCACATCTTTTGATGTTGGATCTAGTGAAAGTTGATGGCATATAACGCTCAGATCAATCTAGGGCATGTCTGACAGTTTCCATGCAAAAAGGCCGACACTGTCCCTTAATACCCTGATGATGTCTGCCTCCTCTTCCTAGGACATCCCCGAGCCTATCTGTGTGACCTAAAACTCTTCAGTACTGATTTGTACCTTTTTTAATTCACTAATTAGGGTTAAGTTTTTGCTTGTGGGATCTCCTAAAGGATCAAGGTCCACCGGGTTCACCTCCAAGGAATCCTCTTTCATAGGCCACTCATGCTGAATCTTCTTTTTTTCAAACTTTAAACTGTCTTTATAACATCTTTGAGCTAATCCTTGATCACCTCTGATTATTTCGACCTATCCGCCTTTTAGGGGATATTCAATGGTTAGATAAATAGTGGATATCGCAACTTCTAGAGCATTAAACGACGACCTTCCGATGATGATGCTATAAGTGATGATGCAATCACTATCAGGTATCTTACCCTGATGCCTTTTGTGTTGCTTCCACTTCCAAAGATGGTCATGTTAGGTAAGTGTCCCAGTACCTGAACTTGTTCCATGAAGAAAACAAATAGGGTTCACATGAAAGGTAACAACTAAGATGTATTCGTGTTCATACCATTGAAAGAATCCGAATATAATATGTCAACTGAACTACTTATATCGATCAACACCCTTTTGACGCTCCAATCATGAAATTGTACCTTTATAACCATCGAGTCATTCTTGTGCGGCAGTACCTCTTCTAAGTCTTGCCTAAAAAAAATGACAATAGGTTTTCCTTCCTTTTCAAATGATGGGTTATGTGACACATGCATTACTGATCATGCATATCTTTTCCTGTCCGAGCTTGTTTTTCCTCCACCAGCAAAACCTTTCGAGATGGTATTAAGTGTGTGTCAAGCCATCAGAGTCTGACGAACTTCCTCAGTGTTCTTTCCCTTTTTGATAGAAGTATTCTCTAAGTCTGGCTCTCTCTTGGATATGTTCCTATTTCCTGCTGATCCATTTGCCTCCTTCACATATGATAGTAGCCAACTTCTTTGGATTAGAGTCTTGATTTCTACTTTTAAGTAATGACAATCCTTAGTATGATGACCTCTTATACGATGGTAGGCACACCATGCTCCTTCATCCTTTCTTAGCAAAACATTGACCCTCTTGGGACAATTAGGTTTGAGTATCAACTTGAGATGATACACTTCCCTTAAAATATGAGCATGCTTTGCATTGAAAGGGGTGAAACTATCGAAGAAGTTATCATAGGGCCTCTGGGAAGGTCTTGTTGTTAACCTTTCCTTTGACTCATGCTTGTGGTGTTATGTTTTAGGCACAAATCCTTCACGCCTAATTGTGTTTTTTCTTTAGCATCCTATGACCTTTTCTTCATGTTACTCTCTACCATTGACATAACATTCTGATATACTCATGACCTCCTCCATGCTAGTGGTCGGCTTCTGCGCCAATGACTCGTGAAAATGGCTGGCCTTCAGGCCGTTTTGGAAAGCTCCTACGAACATCTTCTGTTTGGATGAGAGACTTTTATGGTTTCTTCATTGAATCACACTATATATTCTCTGGGGGACTCAGATGGCCTCTGAAGGACATCAAACAAGTTGGTAGTAGTCACCTTTCTATGCTTGTCGATGGAGAAATGTTGTACCATTTTTTTAGTCAGGTATTGGTAGCTGATAACTGATAGTCTAGGCAGACTCATGTACCAATGTAGCACTACATCTTTGAAGATTTCCGTCTTGAGTTTGCATTTTAGGGAGTCAGAAGCCCCGACTATTGACATCTGATTGTTGATTGATATTTGTGATCCTAAGGATCATTTGCCATTGAAGGATGACAAAAATGATAGTTTTAAAATTTCTAGGACCTGATCACCCCAAATCATTTTTGATAGAGGTTGAGGATCAATGAGTTCTTCCTCTTTCTTCCCCTCCTTAGTACTTTGTGTCTGCTGCAATGTATGGCCACTTTCTTGTAGAGACTCATTTTGCTGGCGCAGTTTTCCACAATGGCTAGGAGTTGTGCCATGTCTGGAGGAATTCAAGGTTCACTTCTGCTAGGAGATGATCTAAACATCACGTTGTTGTGATAAAATGTATGATTTTTGTAAGGCCTGAGAAAGTTTTACCGAGAGCCCCACGGTGGGCGCCAAATGTTCTTGCTAAACACTATTTGGACAAACCTCCCTGAAGCTAGCTAAGTGAGGTCATAATCGTCCTATTTTGTTAGGAGGTATTAGTTGCCGCTTCCTCGTTGGGAAGTCTCATTTTTCTACTCGTTCGCCCATCAATAACTTTTAAAGGGATGTCTCTTCATTTCACACGTTAAAGAAACCCTTAGTAACGTCCGTCGTCCTCCATAACTATCGAGTAATGTTTTTTTCTTTAATTTCTATAACTCCTTTGCAATTATAAGGATGTTTCGTAACCGTCCTCTATGACTATTCATGTTGCTCTTGAGCACTTTTTAAGAGATCATATCCACTTGCTCTTCTGCCATAATTACTATGAGACCTGATCCAATCTGCTCTGCTCTTGTAACAATGTCTATCATAACCAGATTCTAATTTACTTAAGGTTATGTTATCCGACTTGCTCGCCCTTTTATATTCTGCTTGCAAAAACTGACATTTGAAAAATGTTTGGACAAAATTAATTTTATTTATTGTTTAAAAAATATTAAAGTTATATATAAAAAAAAAAAAACTAACTATCTCTAACTCAACAGTATTTTCCTTTAAAAAAAAAATGGTCGAAAATCGACAATCAACGCCAGTATAATTAACCATCTACATTACACAGCAGTAGAAGTCGTCGCCTGCGAGCTGAAACGAACCACTCTCTCCGATCTCCTCTCATCCACCGTAATCTAGTCTTCTTTTTCATCTTCTCAATGCATTTCACCTAATTCATCTCTCGCTGATTCATGCTTTCTTATTCCGCAGGAATGGCCACAACCGCAGTAGGTGCAGCATTTCTTCTGCTGCTACTTCTCCCCTTCTGCATCTCTATCTCCCAACCGATCTCCGATTCTCACCGATCCGCCGCTTCTAACATCTTCAATGAAATCTCCCCGAGGTCATTACAAAACCCTAATTAAACCTTCATTTCTAAATTCAATTGCATTCCGATTTCCGATCCATTGCATTACATTATTTTCTTTAGATTCCGTCGAATCCTTTTAATTTTTCATAGCATAAACAATACGATAATGAAGCGATTGTTTTGATCTATACACCTAAAACTGGAAATATATTTAGATTTATATTTATATATATATATCATCGCTTTGTTTGTAGTGATTTTATTTAAACGCGTGATTGATTTGTTGTTGCATGTTATTATGTTATCAGTTTAGAAGATGCGTATGAGGCACTGAGAGTTTTTGAGATTCTTAAAATTGAGAAGAAGCCGATTGTTACCAAAGACACCTGTAAAAAAGTGTTGGAAGATCTTGGCTCATCTTCTTCACCTCTTAAGGATGTGTTCTATGCATTGAAAGTTAATGGCATATTAAAATGCAAAGTTGATGGTGCGGTTTTCAAGGTATTCAGTTGTGTATTATTGTTATTATTTTGGTTTCGGTTGCAGCTTTGGTGTGTCTGAAGATTTATTGAAGACTGATCCATTGTTATTTATTTCTGTAAAGGATATTGCCTCGAGACTTAAAGCCACTGTCCATGACGCAAGTACTTTGCTTGACATATACTACTCAGTAGGAAGTTTGGCTCTTATAAAGGTAATTATCTGGTCTCTACTTTACTCTTTGAGCTCAGAGAGCCATGTCAAGCACTCACACTGATTTTGAATGTACAAAATATATTGCCATGTCATTTCTAGATATTTGGCACGTTGCTTATTTTGGGTTGTTTAGAGGAACTTATTTGGACTTAACTTATGACCAAGCACTTTCATAAGTGTTCATAAGGGCTTATGTAAATGGCTTATGATTTGTTTATAAGCTTATTTTCAAGTTATTTACATAAGCTCCTCTAGATGATTATTGTCGTATGTGGCTTTTCAGCTCATGCAGAGTGCACCCTAATAATCTCTTCGATAGAAAAAATTTGTATACAAGTTCTTACATGGAAAATACTTGTTCAATAAACGCTTAATTAAGTTTCATATCAGAGTGATTTTTGGATTGCTATGCGATATGATGTTCCGTTATTATCCTCATTCCTTACCTTCTTTGTATGCAGGATCAGGCTTCAAATGTTGATGTTCTTCTAACTGATGCTAATGGTGTTTTTCATTCAATTAAGGTTCGGACTTGTGTTTTCTATTAAATAAGATTAATCTAGGGTTGCTTTTTGGTGACTGCTGTTTTGGCCACATTGATGTTGATGATAAGAAATTCAGTATAAAATCTGCACCCAACTTTTATTAGTTTTCCCCATATTATACCTCAACCATTCTGCAATTTCAATTGAAACTGTCTTGTGCACATTTGATTCCATGTCCTTCAATTTCGACAGACTCTAAGCCAAAGTGATGGAAGATGGCGCTACAGCTCTGATAATCCAGATTCTAGTACCTATGCTGCTGGTAATATTTTGCATGGAAATTTGTTGATATTCAGAGCTCGTTTGTTTTTTGCTATTTAAACAAAGACAATTTTTTGTTGGGGAAATAATCACTTTTGAGTATTTTCTACGCAAAAATGAGAAATCTGATATAAATAGAGAAAAGTTACTTTGGCTACTTCCTGAGAAATAACGAGTGTGGTAGATGAGAGAGAATTTAAATTTTTTTATAATTTTATAATTTTATAATTATAATAATAAACATAGAGATTGGTGTCTACGAACACGACATAAAAAATCTTGAAAAAATAATCAACTTTTATTAAATGTAGAATTAACTTTTTTTTTTTATCTTAAAATAAACAGGCTAGTAATTTTTCTCAATACATGTAACTTTTGTTGCTGAAGCTAGCCTTTTGTGGTTCCTTCGAAAGATTGCAATCCCTATCATTTATCTGTGCTGACATTATAATCATTTATTGTGTATTTCACAGGATTAGCTCTTGAAGCTCTTGGTGGAGTGATTTCACTTGCATCTTCTGAAATCGATCAGAGTAAGGTAAAGTTCTGAATATTTGTAATGGTTGCTTCACTACTTTACTATTATAAAGCTCTTATAATTGAGTAATAATTTTATACACTGACCAGAAATTCATGCACATAGTTGTGCTGTATGTTATGGGACATGTTTTGAAATGTGAATCTAAAGTTAAACTCACTGTTGCTGTTGCTGATTCTAGCCGAATATCTATTTTAGCCGCTGCTTCACATACTTATCCAGCTTTTAAATAATACATCTTACCAACATATCTTTACATCGGTACTTATATCAAAATCTTATATTTGCCCCATATTGGCAGGTCAGTATAGTAAAAAATGGTATAGTGAAGCTATTTGACAGCATCGAGAAATATGGTATGTGAAGCTTTTTGCTTTTAACTCATTCTAAGTGATATATATTCATGGCTGTTTATAATATTTGAATTATCTTGCATGGATTTAGTAGCAATAATGTCATGTTTGTTGCATTTTATTTCATCACATCTTGTTTCTTATTTGGTTTACTTCGGGAGGAGGAAGTTAATTAAGTTGCAATCACCTCCTTAAGATCTAAGTTTGATAGTGTGGCTTCAAGTGTAATAGGACCTTATAGTGTGTGACTGCAAGTGTACTAGAATTGATGGTTTCTCTTGGATTAATTGCCTCTGTCAGTTGCATGTAACAGGACCTTATTTTTATTGATAAACTTAGGCCCTGCATTAAGAACTAAGTAATCCTGAGGAGACACCACTTCAAATTGCTTAAATCTTGAAGATCTACAATTAAATTCTACTTGTCTTGTAGGGTTGAGATTTTTGCATGTTTTCAATTCTGTAGTGCATTTTGGTCCTTCATAGTGCCAATTGACATCAAGTGACATAATTTTCTTGAAGCTCTTTTGCATTAAGAACACTCTTTGTCTTATTCCACCTAATTAGATTGGTTTCCCTAAAACTTGTTTCTTGCAAGACTATCCTGCCATTCTTTATACCTTATATTATCAGACTTATATGAACATGTCATATTTCAGATGATGGAGCATTTTATTTTGATGAGAAATCTGTTAGAGGATCTGAGCATCAAGGTTCTCTTTCCACAACTTCTTCGGTTGTTCGAGGGGTTGCTGCATTTGCTGCAGTAACTTCTGGGAAAATAAATGTGAGTAACAAACGAGGAATTGCTATTTAATTTATTAATATGTTAGAATTTAATGTTAATGTTTTGGCTTTGTTGTTGTTCTTCTGGCTTTGCATTTCCCAGCTTCCAGGAGATATAATTCTGGGTTTAGCTAAGTTTTTCCTCGGCATTGGAGTCCCAGGAGATGCCAAGGACTTCTTCAACCAAGTTGAATCATTATCCTTTTTCGAGAGCAACAGGTAAGTGTTTTCCAAGCAACAATTTGTTATTTGAAGTTGCAGCTTCATGGAGATATTACCCTTTCCTTCTATGCTAATAATATATTGGCCCATCTAGCGTTCATAAATAATATTTAACTTTGATTTCTTATTTTGGTGTAGAATTTCCATTCCATTGATATTGTCACTTCCTGAAACAGTCCATTCATTGACCAAGAAAAGCCAGCTTAAGGTATGTAACTAAGTTAATGAATATAGAATCCTTAGTTTGCTAGTATTATAATGGTTTTTTTAGTAAGAGCATGGAATGTGATGAGATGTTGACGGCATACATTGGGCCTTTCATCCCAATCATGGTTATTGAATCGAGATTCAAATCGTGAATTGAAACATCTATTTTCTAAATTGTAAATCTAATCTCTATGAATCGTAAGACGCTTAATAAATAAATCTGATATTTATAAGTAAAACCAAGTGTCATAAGAAAAACAAAACATAACAACAAATAGTTAGTGAGCAAGTGGGGATCAAAGAGGGAGCATTGTCTTTGAAGAAGGTAAGGGTACCAAAAACAGAGAAGACTGAATTAGAAATGGTGCAAAATGATATGTAGGCTGGAAGAATTAAAAAACACATTGTGGGAGGGAGCGAGGACCAAAACAACAGCGTGCAAGGGTTATTTGAAAAAGAAATAAATGAAAAGAACTAGCTTAGCAGGCCTTTTTGAAATTGGGTTGTGCAGCATGTGTTGTTTCAAGGTTGCACCCATAATGAAAAGTGAAAAGGGCAATTCAGGGATAAGTGACAATTCATAAGATCCACCACAATGAATTGATATTCCCGCTGAGATTCATTTCCAAAATAAATACACATTAATTTGTATAAATTGAATTTAGTTGTTTAAAATCCATATACTAGTCAATGTATTGTGAGATTCCGATAGTCAATGGTCAAACAATTTTAATCTTCTGTTGTAGTGTCTCACATTATTAGATGTGCGATTGTGCAGCACTTGTTTTAGTTTTTACTGCTGAAAATATCATATAACCTTTAAAAAATCGATCAGGTCAAGGTCAATACAGTTCTTGGTTCAGATGCACCACCTCTGACAGTTAAGCTTGCCCGGGCTTTTAGCACTGGTGCAAAAAATTCAGCTATTATTGAAAGCAAGGTGAGTGATGATGATTCACTGGCTTTTTTTAGGGTTGTGAGTTGAGAATATTTTCTCTATAATACAATTGTTTAGTATACTGGGAATCTTTCTTATTTCTGGTACCTTTTATTTTTGCATGCTGCAGGAGCTTCAGTATGACCAAAAAAGTGGATTTCATTTCTTGGATACCCTCCCAGAAAATGTTGATGTGGGAACATATGTTTTTGTTTTGGAGGTATTCCTGCCTGTAATTTAGTTTTATATTTTCCATTTCAGTTGCATCCAAGTATATTTGTTTCCAACCTATTGGTTTTAATATTTTACCCTACTTTGTAGATTGTTCTACATGATTCTGAAAGTGGCAAAGTTTATGCTACTGGAGGCCAAATTCACGTGCCAATATATGTTACCGGCGTTGTTAAAGTTGGCAGTGCAGAAATTGCAGTTCTGGACAGTGATCTTGGAAATATTGAAACCCATAAGACGTATGTTTCTATTTTTGTTTAGCATTCTATTTGTAAATTTTCTGCAGTGATATTTGCTATTTAGGATACTTTTGATTTCTAATTAGTATGTTATATTGTCATGATTTTCTTCATTGTATTATGTGTTTCATACAAAGTTATATCTTAATGCTGTATTCCTGGTTGTAACTGCTTCACATATGTTTCAAATTTGTTCATTTACAACTTTCAGGCTAGATTTGGCTGGAAATGATATTTCTTCACTCTCGGCTAACCACCTTCAGAAGTTGAGGCTTTCTTTCCAATTGGAAACTCCTTATGGTCGTGTTTTCAAGCCTCATCAGGTTTGCAGTTGTTTCTTAAAACCTTGTGAATGAATGTCATTTCAATGCTCTATTTATCGAGAAGTTTTTTTTGTTGTTGCTGGGCAGGCAATTTTAAAGTTGAAACATGAATCTAAGATTGAACACATTTTTTTGGTTGGAAATACTGGCAAGAAGTTTGAGATCACATTTGTAAGTATCTCTTAATACATATATCATTGTCGAGGTTAACAATCTCTCCTTTAGTATTGTTCAAGTGGTTACATTGTGTAATAAATCACTCTGTTTTTGAGTTTGGTTGTAATACTTATAATATTTTTCCCCTTACATATCTGGGAAGGCTGTATATTATTCTGATTTTCATCTTCCTCCAATTTTCCTTGTTTTCCTGGCTCTTAGGATTTTCTTAGCTTGGTGGAAAAACTTTTTTATCTCTCTGGCAAGTATGACATTGAGCTGACTGTTGGTGATGCTGTCATGGTATCGTGCACAACTTCCTACTTCAAAGTTATCCCGACCCTCTTCCCCTAGTAATGTACAGGCAATCTGAAAAAAGATATTTTATTTCAGGAGAACTCTTTCTCACGACTACTGGGTCATGTTGAATTAGATCTTCCAGAAGCTCCCGAGAAAGCAGCACGTCCTCCTGCACCACCTGTTGATCCTTACTCAAGATATGGGCCCAAAGCAGAGATTAATCACATATTCAGGGCTCCTGAAAAGCGACCACCCCAGAAACTTTCTCTCGTATTTTTGGGTTTGATCCTTTTGCCATTCATCGGCTTTTTGGTTGGGGTAAGTCTAACTATAATTCTCACTAGAGAGCAGCACAGATGTACTATGCCTATTTAAGAAAAAGGGGGGTGGGGATAAAAATGGGAAAAATAAGAGAAGTGGAATGGAAAATATGGTTTGGTTATTTAGACATAATATTTAATTTAATGGTAAAGTTACTTCTATTAATATAATCTTCTGCTAGTTTAGTAAACAAATTCTTCCATAAGGCAGTTGTTTGTGAAACTAAATAGTTACTAGTCAGGGGAAATAAGAATCCTTGGTGAATCTGAGTTGGGTAATGGAGACCCAAATTGAATGGTGTATTTCATTACTTTTTCAACTCTCTGCTCAGTTCCCAATAAGATATATTTCGATTTGGGAAATGCATGTGATTTATGAAAGGAAAAATGGTCTTTCCTTCTTAGAACTGTTCAAGTTTAGAGCTGTGTTACGGGATAATATTTTCAAAATTTGGCCAGTAATATTTTGAAGATGCTGCTTAAAATATTAAAGTCTTCAGTGTTATCTGTATAAGATTAGGCCTCTTTGGGGCCTGGTTTAATAATGGCTCTAGGTTGTTTGAGCTTAATTTGTTTCTTGCTGGTCCATGATTGCAGCTGTATTTGTTTATATGTATGTATATCATCTTCTTATTTATAGAAAGGTAGAAGAGAAAAAGTGAAGGGAATTTTTGACTCCTGCATTCAATGTTGTTATGCTGATTTATTCTTTTTATTTGATCTATCTTAGTTTTTGGTAGTTAACGTTGTATGCTTGTTTTGTATCATTTATAGCTGTTACGTTTGGGGGTGAACCTGAAGAATTTCCCTGGTTCAACATTACCTGCTACATTTGCCACCCTTTTCCATATTGGTCTTGCTGCAGTTCTGTTGCTTTATGTGCTTTTCTGGTTGAAGGTATGTCCACTATACATTGATTTAAGATTATTACATGTTCTAATTAAACTTGGTTAAGTCAAGTTCTTCTATTTGGTTGTATTTGTGTAGTATATACTCCATTATCAGAGCTGTTAACATCCATGGCAGTTTTTTTTTGGATCAGTTTTATGTTGTCAGTTCGGCCATTTTTTCTCTGAAGTACTTACTCTTGTCATTTTCGTTCATGTGCAGCTGGACCTATTTACAACACTCAAAACACTTGGCCTTTTGGGAGCTTTTACGATGTTCTTCGGACACAGGATTCTTTCCTATCTTGCATTAACATCGTCCAAGTTGAAATCTGCATGAGCGAAACATATTATTGTCTATTTATAAAGAGATAGGAGTATTTAAGTCCTTTAGAGGAATGGTACTAATCAAATTTTGTAGGACATTTGTTGTATTATGTGATCTGACAAATTTAGAGATCATTATATTGCACGAAGAGAGCTTTAACTTGATTTATTCTGATGAAGCCATGGACACAAACAGCCTATTTAAAATATACTACCTCCCTTAGATGTTTGTTATGTGGTAGCTTTCACGGTTGAATCATGCATTTTCATCGTACCCTGTCCAGTATCTGTTGATCATATCACTTTTTATAATGTTTTGAAATTTTCTGAGAGCGGGTTTTTAAGTATGATTTATCTCATAGAGCCTCTACCTAAAGAGTAAAAATTCTCTATATAGTTGAGGATTCCACTGTTACGTATAAAGAGACACATAATTTAGAACATGTAATATGCATTAAGCAGTTATATACAAAATTATAGTACGAACCCTTTCATTTCTAATGTGTATTTTAACTCGCATGGTATAAGGTAATGCCAGTTTTGATTGAATATTTGACCCAATGAACGTTAAAATTAGATTTCAAATTATTTGCTGCTTTTAATGGGCGATCATAATAATTTATATGCTACTTTTACAAATCATTAAACTCAGATTTCATATCACGTTTAAACCATAGTACAAAAGTTGTAGCAAAAGCTTCCAAGTCAATTGTAATCATGTTTTCAAGCCAATTAAATAGCCTTCACTAAAAAAATATTAAATTTCTAAACAAAACCTTCATGTCATTTAATTTGAGAACTCTATAATGGCAAAGATGTACAGAACTTGGGTGTCAGTTACTAACAACTATGCTCTTATAGTGCAAAACATTATTCTCAGAAATTATTGAAGCTTCTATATATGTCCAGTAACTTCTTCAAATCAATTTCAAGACATTATTCTATATGGGCTGATAATTTATGTAAAACTGTTGCTGTCTCAGATTCATTTAACTTTCCTAATCATAACAAGATGGCAAAGTGTGTTCAAAATCAAATGAGTTCAAAACAGATAATTTAGGATGAGCTTTTGTTGGAACTCATACCTAGTAGAGAAGATAAAATAATTTTGTGAGTGAATGAATATTTTATTACCAAGAAAGTTATACACTATAAATAAAGTAAAACACGTAGACTTCGGATCAAACATTCTTTAACAATCTTATCCGATCTTTTATGATGTTGATAGTATTTGTTCTTTGTTGACTTAATTATTAGAAAATTTATTTCATATTTTTTAAATTACGTCTATTTTTTATATAACGTTCATAATTTTGTTCTTGTTGAGTGAGTCATCAAAGCCTGTATATATATATATAGAATCACAAATAGGTAAATTAGTATACAAACTGTACAAAATTTCCAAACTGTACAAAATTAGTGTACAAATTGTACAAAATCTCCATCGCTGTTTCAATCTGAACAAACCTTGGAATCAAATGTACCAGTGTCTACACTATTGCCAAATGATTTAGGAATGAGAAAAGAATATGCAAAAGACACTTACTCTAAGGGGATTTTGTTCCCTCACAAAGTTGTGTTATAGGAAGGCGCATTTTTTTACTAGTAAAAGATTTAATCCCTAGCTAAAAGTGTTTTTTTATAGGACAATATGAATATTTAGATAATTTTGAGTTGGATAAAATAAGAAGATTTCTTAATCCACTCCTTGATACTTTTAAACACTTAGTAATTTTTTTTATGTCTCCTGTTTTTAGAGATACATATTCGGACGTACTATTTTTTTTTCTTTACGCTAGATGCTTCGAAGACACATCTACGGAAAAAGTTCCGTGGATGCATCTCCGAAATCTTATTAAAACAGATTTAAAAAAAAATCAACTTTTGTTGGTCGCAGATAGAAATTAACTGTTGCAGATGAATATAAAATGACATACATCCGTAAATAAAATAATATGATATATATAAGAAGTCATATGTCATAATCATCATAAAAAAATAGTACATCAATGTCATTAAAATATATTACATAAAAAAACATCACAGTCACTACTATGTGTACCTGACAACATTTGCATCCCCTCATCCATCTATGCCTCTGCCGCCTCGTCTGTCTCTCCCGCCTACTCGACCACCCGGTCTGAGAATAGGGAGATGTCGTCAAACGAGCGCGTCACACGGTGATCGGCATAGACGTCGTACCAGATGTCCTCAGCAGCCGGGAGGTCGAGATAGACTTTATAAGGGTCGACCGTCTGGTTCCCCATGAGTGGGAGAAAGACACGGGCACGTGGCATCAGCTCTGTGTAATCAGACACACTCTGACACCTGGCGATCATGGGAAAGTGCTGGAATATCCAAGCCTGAAATGAAAATAAAAAACATCAGGATCAAGCATTATCACAAATATAGAATAAAAAGAAATGAAAAAAAGTCGAAGGATATAAGATTGTTACCACAAGTAGTGCCACGTTCCCTGCCACAGTCCTAGTCTTCCACAAGCATCCCTCTCCCAGTCTCGAATACGTGCAAGCCAAGGTAGCCCCCCATTTGTACTCAAGGATCCGGGTGGAATCCAAAAAGTACCTCAGGTAAGCGACATCCACATATGTGGAGAAAGTGTCCACAAACAACTGAGTGTCGACTAAAAATAGAAAATAACATCTCAACACACGCTGTCTGTGTATCTCAACCTTAGCTGGATCACCATCTGTCTGCTGCGCAGCAGCGAGCGACTCACCAAATCTACGCATGTGAAATGAGAACCTCGCATGAGCCCCTCTAGTCTTATCCACCTCCTCAAGCGCATCCAGTGGATCAGCCCCAAGCTCCTCGACCAACATCTCTCTCGCATCCTCCTTCGTCATCCTACCATGACGGAGAAGGGTAACCTTGATCGATATATGTAGCAGACAAGAGATGTCATCCAGTGTGATCGTGAGCTCGCCGTGTGGTAGATGGAAGGAGGACGTCTCAGGGTGTCATCTCTCCGCAAAGTCCATCAGCATCCCATTGTGGATCAGGCTGTAATCGATCTCATAAAGGTCCTTCAAACTAGAGGCGGCAAGGACGTCCTGGAACCAAGCCTCCTGTGACTGCTACAAAGATAATATCTTCCGCCCGTGGTTATAGAACTTCTGCGGCTGATGAGTATAAAAATTTCCATAAATAAGAAACAATGTTAATACGAAACAATGGTACAAATTATAATTTTTCAATGAAAAAAAATAAACAATCTGAGTAATGTTACCTCTCCATCCCAGACATGTCTGGAAGTATGGTCAACGTACCCTGTCAGCAGGGACATATCTAAGGGGCCCCCTGGGAAACCCTCATGCTCATCATCGTCGTCGTCACCAGCATCCTCCGGTAGTGGGTCATCACCCTCTGGCGGTGACACCAGATCATTGGCTGGAGGAAGACCAAGAGTATCTCGACGAGGCATGTGAGAGGACGAGGCCTGCGATGAACTCTCAGTTGAATCCCTACGCCTCCCAGATAAAGAAGTGGATGATGGGGTGGGATACGAGGTCGAGGGAATGTCCTGGGTATGTGATGAAGAAAGATGTGCCTCAATTGTATCGGCCTCGGTAACGGTGGCATGGCTCCGCTCGCGTCTCACAGATGCATGCTGTGAAACCCGTCCAAATCGCAATCTACCTTCTCTGTCTGCCATAATGTCTGCAAGGTATAACAAAGAAAAAACAATTAGATACAAATAAATTAAAAAACAAAAAAGAAAAAAAATTAACAGTTTTTTACTTTCGGATGTGAACATACGGAAAACTTCCGTACATGTATCTATGGAAAAACCCAGAATTCAGAAAATTTGATTTGTTCCGAAGCTGCATCTACGGAATTGCCCTAACGTTATTGTGTTCCGTAGATGTAGCTCCAGAATTTCCTGCAACTCCAACAGTCATGACAATGGCGTCCCCTATCCATGAAAATCAATTTTTTGAACCCCTGGTCGTTCGTTTCAGCCAACAAACAATACATACATTGTCTCTAAACTATGTTTCTAAAACTATCTAAGGATTTCTACCCCTAAAATTATATTCTAACTCGTTTACGTGAAATATTCGAAAATACCTCAGAAACTCAAAAACTTACCGATTATATCGAGCTTTGAATGAGTTGAAGTGTCTTGATCGTTGAAATGAATGCTCCTTGTCGAACTTGATTGAAAAAAAGTTAAGTTTGGTGGGAAAAGATTTTTTGAGGATTGAGAGAGTTTGAGAGTGAAGAAGATGAAAAATGAAGAACGAGGGAGAAGAGACTCTGAAAAAAACCAACGTTGAGTACAAAAATATCCGTTCAAAAACACATCTCAAAAAGCAAGGAGATATTTTTAAAAGTGCACATGATGCTTAAGAACTCCAAAGAGTGGGGTAGGAAATTCTCTAAAATAAAGATGAAACCAATTTGAATTTGGTAGAAGGTGCAAATCTTGAAAATGAAGCATAAGATTAGTTTGTTTTGTTTTTTTAAAATAATTTTTATATTGTAATATTATTTTGTGTAAAAAACTTTATATGAAAATTTGGTTTAAATAGTTATTTTTAAAATGTTATTTTAAATATTTATTATTTTATTAAAAAAAATTTTGGATATGAAAGTTTTAAAAAATCACTTAATTTTGATACTATTTTAAATGGTTTTTCATTAAAATTATTTTTGAGATACAACTTTTTAAAAAAATTACGATTTTAACTATATTTTTATCTTAAATAACGTATGTTTATCTTATAGAATATTAAAATTAATTTTTTAATTTAAAAAATAGATATTAAAAAATTGTAATATTTTGAAAATTGATTTTATAAAGTTGATTTTTAAAAATTTAAAAAAAATCTATTTTTTTAAAACTTAATAAAATAGACCTTTAATAAAAACAAGACGTTAAGGCATATTTCCTGAAAATGACCTAAAAAAAAATTAAATTTGTTTGAAAGAAATATATGAAAATGATTAATCGAACACAATTTGAATAATACAAGGATGCAGATAATC